TGAGGATGTTTGAGGTTGTGGTGTCCTGGAGAACCTTGCCCCAGGGAGGGGCCTGTGCCCTCTTTTCCCTCCTAGGGAGATCTTAACAAGGGGCCCTTCAGGTCATATGGGAAGCACAGCCCCCAACCCAGCGCCCACGGAGGAGCTTTGGCTTTGGGTGGGGAGAGACAACCTGAGAACCGGTCTGCCAACCAGTTTAACCAGGGACTGGTTTCGACTTGGGGAGTTCAAAGTGAGCAGCGGCCTTTAACCCTTTCCCAGTAGTGCCCTGGGCGATGGAGAGGTGGTGGTCCATGCTAAAGAGGGGTCAGAGTCTCTTTGGACCATGAAATGGTTGAGGGTGACCTTGGCCACAGCTGGCCAGTACAACCAGATACCCAAGAATGGGGAAACTGAGGAGAGAGACTCCCATGCTTCCTTACCCTGGACTTCCCTTGGGATTCCCTCCTCCAGGCTGGCGGTCCCAGGAGGACCCTGGCTTCTGGGTAGATGCAGGGTCTTGGGGATTGGGTTTCTGGGGGTGATGAATATTCATCAGCCTGAGCCAGCCTCTGCTTCTGTTTACTTAGCTGGGAGGGGCCRGGTTTCAGGTTCACCTTGACTCTGGGAGCTGCAGCGGAGCAGGTACCCGCTCCTGCACCTGTTTCTTTTGCACCTGACGTGCAGCTGCTCCTACCCACCTCTCCTGGCTGAGCCTGGCCTGCGCGGCACCCTGGAGGCATCCTCTCCTCCCCCAGCCTCACCCTCCCAGGGCAGCTCCTCCACTCAGCTCCTTCTCTAGGGAAGGTCTCRCCTCCAGTCCGGAGCAGTCAGAATTACAGGTACAAGCAGAGGGCCAGTGGGTGGGGAAATCAAGGCACAGTCCCTATTTGGGACTCCCAGTGCTGCCTCCATGGCTGACAAGCCCAGTAGGGAGGGGGAATACAGGGGCTATCTCCTTCCAATCTCATCCCACTGGCCCTTTGGAGTCAATCCAGGCCTCCAACAGAGGTCCTGCTGAGAAAGTCTTGCTCCCAAGGAGTTAGTTCTCTATTAACTCTAAACCCAAGCCCACTCCTGTTCCTCCCCCAGCTAGGACGACGTGTCTGGTTGTCTGGTAGGAGCACCTCACTTTTCCTATCCAGGGTACTCTAATTATCCAGAGTGGACAAKGGCCATGAGGGACCCTGCTGAGGGTGGGGGAAAGGTTCTGGGTTTTCTCAATGCAGAAATTTGACTGACACCCCCCCCCCGCCTTATGCCCTTTCCCCAGTCAATGGTTAACTTGTCTCAACTCAGAAGAGGCCATGCAAAGCCCTTCTGAGTAGTTCATTGAGCATACCTAGGGTGGTGGGGACTGTCCTGTGGCGGCACCCATGTGCAGGGTGCTGGYCACCAAAGGTAGACTGACCCATGAGGAGTTTTGTGGGCCCAAAGTTGTGCAAGTAGCAGAGGTGGAATTGGCATCCTCAGGGGCTGATTTCCAACATCCACGGATTGCAGTGCCCCAGGGCAAGGGCCCAGCCCTCAGCATGGCCAGCTCAGGGCTCTGAACAAGCAGACTGCAGGGCTCGTGTTACCAAATGCTGCATTTATGGGAGTTCCTGTACCCTGTYCCTCAGCCTCAGAAAATTCCTGCTGGCCTTCTGGTGTCACCTGGATTCTGTACCCTCCACCTGGGAGCTGTCACAGCCCACTCCTAGGTGTGCTGAGAACCGGATCACAACCTTCCCAAACCCAGAAGGCCAGCAAGATCGGGCATGGACATATGGCTGGAGATATCTTGCTCTTTGCGATTTTGAGTATTTGGGAAGTTTGGCTATCATACCACCTTTGGAAACCATCAGATTTTACTGTCTTTTAAGGGCCACTACTTAAAGCTCACTGGGTTATTGTATAAAGCAAATAGTTCTCTTATTTCTCTTGTTTTGCAAATTCAGATTTCCATATGTTAGGCTTGCCTAAAGGGACAAACACCTGTTTACTTGTGCTCAGATGTCCTCCTGAACAGGAGGGACAGGAGGGCCTGGCAAAGAGCATCCTAGGAAGACTAGGATACAAGTCCAGGAGACAAGGGCACCAATGACTTGGTGTCTTGGTGCAGGCCCTAAGGCAGGATATAGGCCATCCCTGTTTCTATGGCTTTTTGATTCGTTTTTTTTTTTGTGAATTGTGGCATCCTTTACTCCAAGGAGTCAGGCTCTATGGATGCCAACTTGAAATATGGTCCCTATTTAAATAGGTATTTTTAAATTTGTTGAAATAGGTATATTTTAGCTGGCACAGGCAGAGGCCCCTTGCATAGGTTTAGGAAATCGGTGTTAGAGGAATTTCGGGCACTGGATCCCCTTTCCCTGCATTCTCAATTCTCTGGCAGCTCCACATGAGTGATGGTGGGGCCGGGGTACCCACAAAGCAGCGACTGGGGCACCCACAGAGCAAGCGAGCACCCTGTTCCTCCTTCCCTCCCCTCCCCACAGCTCCTTCCAGAGGCCCATTCTGGAACAYCAAGTTCTGTGCAAGGCTGTGCTAAGCCCAGGCGGGGCAAGCTGCCAAAGCAAACCTCTCAGGCCGTCCCTTGGTGTACTCACCTCTCCAGGGCACCCTGGAAGTATTGTGCCCTAAGAGGAGCTGCCCAAGGTCTCTCCTTGGCGTCTCTTGCTATTTGAGCCCAGCTGAACGGGCAGAATGGGAGAAGTGGGGTGTGCTTTTTGGACAAAGAGGTGGGAAGGAGTTCCCACCAGCAGGTACCAGGGGAAGGGAGTATGGCTGTGGAGGAGTGGCAGCAACAAGGGCATTCCGCTCATGCCCAGGCCAGGTCCTGCTTTTCATTTTTCCTAAATTTGATATGTTTCTCCCTCTAAAAATATCTGTACTCCATGGAAATTCTGGAAATGAGAAAACCAGAGGGGAGAAAGCAGTCTCTATTCCTTTTATATAAAGAAAACCACTAACAATCATTTGTAATATTTCTTTTTTTAAAATTTTGTTTTTTAGTTGTAGATGGACACAACATCTTTATTTTTTTATATATYTATTTTTTAGTTATTGGAAGACACAACATCTTTGTTTGTATGTGGTTCTGAGAATCGAACCCGGGCCGCACGCATGCCAGGCGAGCGCGCTACCGCTTGAGCCACATCCCCAGCCCCACAACATCTTTATTTTTATTTGTTTATTTTTATGTGGTGCTGTGGTTTAAACTCAGTGCCTCCTGCATGCTAGGCAAGCACTGTACCACTGAGCCACAACCCCAGCCCTTGGCATATTTCTTTGTGATCTTTTTACAAAACATTGTAAAATCTATATTTAAAACTTATAATCCCAGCTTTGCAGGAGGTTCACAAGTTCCAGGCCATCCTGAACAACTTAGAAAGACCCTGTCTCAAAAGAAAAAATAAAAAGGCCTAGGGAAGTATGGTAGAGCACCCCTGGGTTTGATCCCCAGTACCTCCACACACACACCCCATAGTAAAGACTGTCAGCTTTTATAAGGAGGTAATATATTTGCTTGAACCCGGGCCACCTGGCCATGTAGATTTCTGGTATCTCCTGGCTTCTGTTCTCTCCTCCTGGGAGCTGTCATCACAGCCCACTCCTAGGTGTCCTGAGAACCAGATCACAACCCTCCCAGACCCAGAGATGCCTTTATTTATCCTCACTCTGCTCCACTCCTGCCTTACCTGTCCCCCAGACATCGATGGTACCCAGAACTTCTGCTAGCTCATGCAGCACCTTGGTGGAACTTAGCCAAAGATGTGTCTCTGGATTGGCAGCTCCATGTCGGGGCACACRGTTTTGGAGTGGAGAAGCCTGCGTTTTTTTTATCCTTACACCTCTCAAAGATCTGTCCTTGTGGTGGGGTGGTGGGGAAAGGAAACCATCCCTTAGTAATTGCCACCCTTATCCTAATTTTTACTTTGTAAAGCATGTCTACCTCTGTGGGCCAGGATTAACAGGAGAGCTAAATGTTAGGGCTGGTGAGGACAGATAAGGAAACTGAGGCCCAGAGAAGTGATTTACCAGAGGTCACAAAGCTAGACAGTGCCCAGGACTTCCCACTCCCAGCTGGAAGCTCCCCATTCTCCCATGATCCTTTTATTTTGTAAAGCAGGAAAGATGTATTTGGCTTATAGTTTCACAGGGTTCAGTCCCTGTGGCTTTAGTCATAGGGGCTAGTTGAACATCATGGCAGAAAGTGTGTGGTGGGGGCTGGGGTCGTGGCTCAGTGGTAGAGCACTTGTCTCACGTGTGTGAGACACTGGGTTCGATTCTTAGCACTGCATTCTAAGCAAAATGCACAGGATGTTTCTGTCTGCGTGACCAGTCATGGTCTGCCCACTCTGGGCAGCAGGGCCCAATGGTGGATTGGGAAGGGCTTGGTTCTGGTGTGCAGATCCTGCATGCCCTGTGACCAGGCAAGTTGTTCCAGGGCCCACAGTCCTGATGGCCTGGAAGGAATGACCTCAAAGCTTCCTATAGAGTGTCTCTGTGGGACAACAGGGTGTAGTTGTTCCATTGTCCTTCTGTCTGGCCCAGGGAGTCCCTCTTGTTTGCTTTGGTGGCTCTTATCCTAGACTCTTCTTTCTTTCATACTCTCCCAAAGCATTACATCACACCACCTATTCAAACCCTGGGTTTCTTTGGCCCTATCTTCAATTCTTCCTTCAACTCTTCAAATAGTTGGTGGTTGCCAGGCTCGGTGCCTCACGCCTGTAATCCCAGTAGTTTAGGAGGCTGAGGCAGGAGGATTGCGAGTTCAAAGCCAGCCTCAGCAAAAGTGAGGTGCTAAGCAACTTAGTGAGACCCTGTCTCTAAATAAAATACAAAACAGGGCTGGGGATGTGGCTTAGTGGTCCAGTGCCCTGAGTTCAATTCCCAGGACCCCGCCTCCAGAAAAATAATGTGATTACTAAAGAGGCTGGAGAGGGCTGATCCAAGCTGCCCACAGGATTTGCCCACTGACCTTTGTCCCCTTCCCCTGCTCCAGCAGAAAGTCTCCCCTCGACTCAGGGAGCGTCATGACTGAAGTTGGTTGGTGGAAGTTGACCTTCCTCCGGAAAAAGAAATCCAGTCCCAAGGTGCTGTACGAGATCCCTGACACCTATGCCCAAACGGAGGGAGGCACAGAGACTCCGAGGCCCGACACTGGAGGCCCCAACAGCGACTTTAACACTCGTCTGGAGAAGATTGTGGATAAGAACACAAAGGGCAAGCACGTCAAAGTCTCCAATTCGGGTCGCTTCAAGGAGAAGAAAAAAGTCCGGGCCATGCTGGCGGAGAACCCCAGCCTCTTTGATGACCAAGAGAACAAAGGACAGTGAGAGGGGCCGAGGAGGATGCTAGCATCTCCCTGCTCCTTGCCATCAGCCGGATCTGAGACAGGAGCTTGCCACGCTGGCCTCTGGTCATAGCTGAAGCCTTAGGGGCAGTTGTTGCCTGCTGGCAGGAAACGTTTGGGTTTTAAGTTTGTGTTTCTGTGCCCCAGCTTTGTGTAAGGCCTGGGAGACCCCAGGCTCCCCTCCTCCTCCCCTGACCACATACAATGGCACTCTTGAATGAGGAGGAAAACTCCCACCCTGGAAGCACAGCCCTCCTTGGAGGTGAGCAAGGGGAGTAGAGAGGAGGAGTGGCAGGCTCCACCTCCCCTGTGAACACAGGGTCAAGGGTGAGTTTGAATTGCTGCTCCCTCTACTTTCTCTACTTGTAACTGTTCCCTGGACCAATCCTAGGAGAGCACATTTTCCAGAAGCCAYAGCCACGTGATTGGGGGAGGGGATGGTTTCCTTGGTGCCAGAGGCGGAGATGTTGAACTTGAGCTCACCTCTTAACACAAGTGGTAAACTTCCTGGAACTTTGCCCCCAGGTGTGGAGTAGCAGAGGACCAAGTCACTCCCTGGGAGAGCTGCAGAAGGCCCGACCAGTGACCCACCAGGTTTCTGTGTTGCCCCTTGTGCAGAGACCCTCAAAGGGAAGCCTCACCAGCCAAGGAGCCAAACTGGTGGTGTGGGTGGGAAAGCTCTGGTAGGAACTAAAAGCAGCCAGTTTTCTCCTCTCGTCCTCCTCCGATAGTATTTAAGACATGAATCATGGAGCTTTTAATTTTGTTTAAAAAGTAATTGAAGGTTTCTCTTTGTGATAAACAATTCTGTAAAAGCAGAGAGTCTATTTATGCTCTTATCTTGCATTTATGGAGATGTGTGTTTTTTATGTGCTCAAACTGTTTCTAAGAGCTTCAGGAAGTGTCCTCAGGTGTGCGAGCATACAGGACCTTGTTGATAATTCCACCATCAAACTAGGCTTAGTATGGAGGGAGGCAGGAAGGAGCTAGTTATACACACTTCAATGGTTGGTTCCTTCTGGGCAACAGAGAGGCCATAAAAGTGGGCCAGAACTTTAGTGACTGATCYTAAAGTCTCTGTGTGGTTTGGGATCAGGATTCAAATGCTGGCTCCCCTACTTAGTAGTTGGGTGACCTTGGGAACATTTTCTCAAAGACTACTCTGAGCTTCAGTACCCTCCTCTGTGAAAGGGGTTGTAGTAGCACCTATTCATAGGGAGTGGTCTGTATGAAATGGCCCATAAGGGGTCCCATACTAGGTGCTCAGTTAAATGTTGGTTTCCCTCTTCTTTTCTTTATTACAGAATAATAAAGAAATTACATCATGCCCACAGCTTCAGTTTAAGAATGAAACAAGAACTGTCTTCCTATAATGTTTAGGGCAGGCTCTTTTTAAAGGCAGGAGACCTGGGAACTGGAAAATATTGGACAAATCTCTGGAACTTATGGTGGGAACAGGGAGAGTCCAAGGTGGCCACTGAACTATGTGGCCCTGCAGCTTCCAGATAGCTTCTTGMAGGCTGCTGGGCCACCCCACCCCAGGGAACTGCCTGGAGAAATTTATTGCCAAAACAAACAGACCTATACAAGGGGGCCTTTGTTAGGTGCCTAACCCAGGCCAGGGGGAACTCAGAGGATGAGTGAGGGAGACCAGGAGTTGGAGGAATGGAAGGTGGGTTCAAGGGTGCTGCCTTCCTCAAGGACTCCTCTCCTCCACCTCCCCACTAAACTTTCTATGTTCTCACCAATTTCTCAATCCATACAGCCTCCTGTGGAGGAGCTCAGACCTTCCCTAAACATATAGTCCTGCCTACTGTTAATAACTACCATTTACAGAGCACTTATAACAGGTAGCAGGGACACAAGCATTCCACAGGCCTCCTCATTTAATCAGTTCATTGCAGGAAATGGGTACTATTAACCCCATTTTCCAGATGAGTTAACTGAGGCTTGGGTTAAATCACTTGCCCCTGGTTCAGGCGCTCAGAGGCAGAGCTGGGTTAAAGTCAAGTTGGTCTGTGCCTATAACCACTGCCTCTATGGCGCCTTCCACTAGAAAATGAGGTTCAGAACAAAGAAAGAAGCATTGTTAGTCACCTTCTGCAGAAGGGGAGTGGGGGAAGAGAGAGGGCAATGTCTGGGCCTTAGAATCCTGGGAGGTGAGGGCCACTTAAGGGTTCCAGATAGACCCTGGAACCGTAGGGAAAGAGCCAACAACCTCCAGGCTGGCTGTACCGTAGACCCTATATTGTAGGACCTCCATCACAGCCCAACTGGGGGTCCCTGAGGTGGGAGATGAGGATGGGCCCTGGGACTGCATTGCCACCCACTCCAATATCACCATCACCCCCTCTTAAGTAAAAGGGTCTGGAGCTCCCTGTCCCTTGCATGCTGACCTTGCTCACAACCCTGAAGTGATCGTCACAGGAATCTTCCAGGAAAACTCCACACATATACAAAGAAGTTGCAGGGCTAGCCGGGATAAGATGCGGCCACCCAGGATTCTGAGCAAGGCAGCTTAAAGTTTTCAGGAGACAGGAGGAGGAGGAGGTGGAGGAGGAGGAGGAGGAGGAGGAGGAGGAGGAGGAGGAGGAGGAGGAGGAATTGAGAGTGCAAATATGTGCAGGAGCGGGGAGAGGCTATGGGTTATCGACCACAGTTTCACTGGGACACCACCCAAGTGGAGGAAGGGGGAAGCAGGCAAGGCTGGCTGGAACTGCCTGCTACTACCCCAAAGGGGCCCACTCTGGGTGTCGAGCTCCCCCTGCTGGACGTCCAACCTGCAAGGCGAGAAGCTGGTAAATTCCCAGCTCCTCCTTTCTTGGGAGGTGGGGGAAATCAAGCCAGGTTAAACATTAATACCACACTTGGTTGACAGGCTTTTATTACACACTTGGCACAGCAATTGATAGAGAACTGAAAAGGAACAGCTGAGACCAGGCTCAAAGCTGAGAGGTGACACAGCCCGAATAACACAGATGGGGTGTAGTACTTTTCACACATACACACACACACACACACACATACAAACGTGTGCTCTTAAAGGTTGCAGCCATGGCACAACAAAAGGGACCAAGTAGGTAAGGCTGCCCAGTAAAGTGACTACAGGATCAATGTGCCTTCCTCCATTCAGGCTTAAGCAGGGATCAACACAGGAGAGGGCTGCCCTTGGAGGACCCCGGCCAATAACAGACTGAAGCCCACACCCATATAGTTAAAGGAAGTACAGTTTACAGAGTAGCAAGTTCAAGGTCAACCAGTGCAAATAATTTTGGCTCTGTCACAGCAAATAATTACCAGCCTGGTTCCTCTCCATGGCCAATAGGCCATTTGGCCATGTCCCTAGTCAGCAGGCCTGTGCTCAAGAGAAGCAAATGCAGTGTAGCACAGAAGACAGACAAGACCTATGAAAGGCTCACCAACTTTGTGAGTGGGAGACCTTGCTTTAGAGGTTGAGGCCAGTGCATCTGGTCACTGGGAGCCTTGTAAAAATGCAGAACTGGATTCATTAGGTCTGGGTGGGACTGACGGCCTGCACCTCTAATGGACTCCCAAGTGATGCTAATGCTTCTGGTCCACAGACCATATGGCAAGTGTCAAGAATTTCAGACTATAAGGTCTCAATTTTGGCTGCACAGATTTCCCTGAGGGGCATTTAAGTTCCCCAATGCCCCGGCTGCACCGAGATCAGTTAAATCCTCTCTAAGGATGGGATCTAGGGCATCTAGAGTTTTAAACTTCCCTGGGTAATTCCAATGTAGGTGAAAACCAGTGACCTAGGAATTATCTTCAGCAGAGGTGAGGAGTAGGGGAAGGGAGTGCATGGATAGTCCAAACAGCAAATCTCTATATATAATAATTTTATATTTGGAAAATAAGTATATGTGTACCTACACGTGTGCATGCCTGCGTACACTAAATTTCCATAAATGAACATGGTCAGTTAAGTTTTATAAAAATCTTTCTGGCTTATAAGTAACAGCACATGAAACCTTCTACAAAATTTCTGATGGGCTAGGATCCAATACATCTAGTGATAGAACACTCACACACAATAGATGGCTCATTCCAATTTCTCTCCATATTGAGATGAAACCTACTTATCTATAAATTTTACCTATGGGTCCCTAGGAACTATAAAGAATAAATTTAATCTTATGCATACTGCTATGTTTCAAATAATAGAAGGCAGCAATCAGTGGGGGTGAATGTTACAAAAATAATCTTTCATAAATTAGTTCATGTTCTTTTATTTGTAAATTAATTCTAGTTTAATCTGAGAAAAGAAGAGGAGGAAGAAGAGGGAGGAGAAGGAGGAAGAGAATTTATACAGATAGTAGGGTGTTCTGAGACAGGAGGAGGAACCACACAGCAGAGACAAGACAAGGAGGGGTGCAGGGCAGTGCAGGAATTGCAACAGTAGCAGCCAGAGGCTGTTTCTTGGTTGCTATTAATGACTTCTTAGCTACAATGACTTCCAAGGCTCTGGGTCTCTCCATTTCAAACTTCAAATTATTAACAAGAATATCTGATTGACTAGATTAGCTCAGGTGCCTGCACTGGGACCAATCAGTTTGGGGCAATACGGTTTACATAACAGACTGGGAGTGGGCCAGAAAGGGAGTCACACCAGCCACCACCCCTAGGGGAAGCTATTAAAAAAATCACAGGCAAAGTTAAAAAAAAAAAAAAAAAGGGATGATTACAGGATTCTTCCACATGTGTGGGTCTCTAGATTCAGTACAATCCATTCCAGCAGCTAACTGATGCCCAACTGAGTACACAGAACTCAGAGAAGGAGATCTGGAGAGCCACAGATATAAAGGGTGGGAAGGGAAATGGACAGAATTTTAAAAAAGGGCCAGGCTCCCAGTCCCATACCCTCTCAGCACCTCATCCCTGTTGCACTCTAGCCAGCCTCCAGTCAAGGTGCAAGTCTCTCATAGAGCCAGCCTTCCTCCCCGMGATGAGTCATGGGCCCCA